CAAAAGTGTCCTTTCCCTTAAAAGTTCTGCTTCCCTGTGCTTGACTTTACTGTCAACAATTCTTTGTCTGACTTCTGTACCCCAGACAAATGACCCCAAGCTTCTAGTTTCTTCTCACAAAACAGCTCTGAAGTTGCCTAACCTATAGCTTTCCTTTGCATTTGTTCCAGTTTGTATCCATCCGTTTCCAATGCAGATGACTAGAAAGGTATTCACTGCTGTTCACTACTTTGTAACTCAGCTGGAAATAGCTTTTCTCCCACCAGTTTCATTGATTAGGTTCAAGCTTATTCTTTGTTTTGGCCTCCAAACACATATTCTTCTCCTGCATTTCTTTTTTTCTCCCCACGTCTCCAAGACCCTCATTCTGTATCAGCTGTAACATACCATGCTGCTCCCTCTCTTCCCTCTCATCACTAAATTTTACCAATCTGTCTTTCTCTGGGATTGGCATTTAAATTAATCTCGTTTAGCACTGTTCTTACTTTAAGGAAGGCAAAAAGTAATTCCCCTATGAACCTCTCTTCAGCCCAACACTTCCTTCACTGCAGACACATTGCTTCTGCTTATTCATCTTATCCAGTTAGTAATTCCTCTGCTAATCCTCTCTACACTTCCTGTTAGCACTATCAGACACCTCACCAGCAGACACCAGGTCATTTCAACCAAGAAAAAGCAGATTTTCCTAAAGCATCAAGTTGGTTGGACACATTCTATCTTTAGTAAGATAGAGAACTATACTGCATTGTATTTTGTTTTCTATTTCTCTTTCCCCCCTTAAAATCTCTTCTAAGCCCTGGACCACTTTTGAGTCAAGTCTTGCTGGTGCCATTATCAGGATCCCTTTGATGATCTAATTATAGGCATTAAATTTGTTTCTGTCTGATCAAATTTTCTTTAAAATAGGCGGCTTCAAAACCTGAGATCTCTTAAATCCACTGTGCCTGAACTCAACCCAGAGATTACCTGATAACCACAATTTGGCTGCATTAAGGTTCTGAAGTTTTCCAGTTTCCAATTCTGGAATTCCAATTCTGGTTCCCAGCACTTATCTTGCTTTTACCCTGCTGGTCCATGGCTTTTTCCTTATTAATTTAGTCATCAGTCCATGCCTAAACTATTCCTCATCTATGCTCCAGTTGTATTAGCACTTCTTGTGCTAATTCTGTTCTTACTAAAATAGCTACAGAATGTTTTCTCTCTGGGAGAGTTTTAATACTATTAGATAACTCCTTGTGATTTTGGCCAAACCTGACTTCATCTCTGTAACAGTCTCCCCCACCTGCAACAGTTTTGCTGGTCAGTCACTCCCTCTTCTTCTGCTTCTTTGTATCTTCCCTAATTAATCTTTCAAGTAGACCTAGAAGAATTTTAAATCCCACTTGCATTTCAGCACATCCATTTTTCCCACTCCATTTACCTGTGCATCATAACTGCAACTTCCCATTTGCTGTGCACACCTGGTTTTGGAGCAATTATATCACCAATTAGCACATCCACCAAAAGGAGAGATGAAAACAATTTGAAGAAGCACAAACACATCTGAGTATTGGCCTCTCATCACAGTTCTCATTCTTTGCATCTGAAAATCAGCTTGCTTCTCTGAAAGTCTGGAGCAGAGAAATAAGCCTCTCCTTCAACGCTGAAATAAAGAAATTATTTCCTGTGTTCCCCTAAAGGGATAGGAGAGCTTAGACAAATTCCCTTTGTAGTTGCATCACTCTTACACTACTTTAAGACTAAACTTATCTTACAGGGAAGAACAGCACTGGATTTCCAGATAACTGGTATTTTTATGAGAATCTGGAGAATAGAATATATTTCCTCACCAATTATAGCAACAGCATCTTCTTGAGCTTCTGTCCACTACCAGAATATGGAGGGTTATGCTGCTTTTGACAATAAAGACCACTTAGGAGACTCCAGGCTCTCCCTACTCTCTTCCCATTCCCACTGGCTCCCTTGAGGGCCAATACCAAAACCAAATACACACCATCCACACTCCCTTGAGGGTCAATACACACTAAAATAGCAAAATTCCTTTTTAAAAAATTACTCTTCTGGAAATGGGGCTTAACAATGCCTAAAACCAAACAGAAAAAAAATTTGTTTCTTCCATTTCAGCTCCACAAATACCTGTATGAGCACAGGGGAGAGCACAAGCAGAACAGCACCAGTAGGGAACTTCCTACAAGACACATCAGCCCTGACTAGATTTAACTATTTTCTTAAGTGGTAACTAAGTAGTTACCACTTAAGAAAGTCAACACGATAACCTCCTAAGCTCAGGTACTGAATCTGGAGAGTCCAGGTGTTGTTTAAAAATTCCCAAGTGTAGTTCTGGTCATGAAAACCGAATTGATTCTCTACAGTGAAGCAGCAGCAGTTTTCCACTGGGTGGCAACAAAACTGTCAGCATCGAGCCAGTGAAAAGGACTATAAATTCACATTAAAGCCTGTAACAGAACTTTTTAAGTCACTTCAGATTCCAGTTTGCAGTTTGTATTCATTGCAAACTATCTCTTTAATACATATATCTGTGCTTTGTTGCCACTAGAGGTTTTTTAAACAACCCTTACGCAAACATAAAAGCAAATATTGCGCCCAATGCAGGTCTGACACAAAGGGAAGCTGTGAATGGTTGCCATCTGCTACCACAGGTGGCATGCACAGCTCTATTTATCCTTGGGGCCTGCACTAGAAACGGTAGATGTTCCTCTGTTTAGAGATTTTTCTAACCATTTCAAAGCAGGCTATATTATCAAAAAAGGAACAGGGAAGAATTCCCTCCAAAGCAGCATCTTGAGGAGGTGCACAGACTTGAGAATGAAGACGCTGACTATGCTTCCTTCAGTCTCTTAGCAATACATACAGCATTTCTTTCCACTCCCAACAAAGAATTGATCACTCACGAAACAGTAGGTTCCAATTTGCATACGTTTAACCCACTGCAAGAAGCAGC